TCCCTTCCAACCCCAACATTCTGTGATTCATTCTGTGAATGTACAAGAAATTAAAAATGTGGGTTTCATGTAAATGTAGTAACAACAAGGTCATGCTATTATCAAGACAAGGTCACAAAAGCACCCTTATTTCTCCTATTCATGAATTTAATAAAGAACCGTGTACTGTTTCTGGGGGGTTAACTCACCATCTCTCCCCATGGGATTGTCACTAATAGAGGGATTCCCATAGTGTTCAGTGGCCTGTGTGTAGGATGGACCCATATACACTGATTGAGGCTGTCTGTGAAATACTCCAAATATGGTTCTACATATGCAGAAAGTTTCTGCTTCAGCTCAATTTGTTCTATATTTAAATAAACTTGAAATGTAACAGGGAAATTTCCTTAATTTTCCAAAACCTTTTTGTCGTATTTGATTTACTGTTTCACATACACATGTAATTCTAACAAAAAGAGCTCGGGGAGGATTTTTGATATGGAATACATACATGTCTCAGAGGCTAAAGACTAGTGTTTTCACCCTAAAATGCTTTCCTGGGGAAGGAATAGTGCATACCTGACAGTGTGAAGCTCTTGTGGGCCTCAGACAGCCTGGAACCTCCCATGGTCATTCCAGATTTCCCAACTCCTCCAGCCACAAGGTGACCAGAAGTTTCTTGATTTCCACTGTTGGCTACTGTCAGCCAAAAAATGGCTACTGTGCTGCCACCTTCTCTCCTGCTCTGTTTTTAATATTGAAATACACAAATAAATTAATCTAGAAAATTGGGTAAAGTTGGAATATTCTCATTTGTTAATGTGATGACTCTCTTCTTTCCTGCCTTTTTTCTTGGTTGCTTTTCCTTATTCTCTGTTCAAGGTATATTTTGCCTTTATCTGATACCTATTGTTCTAATTTGTTTTCCTCTTGGCAGTTATGCAGAGTTTATTCAGGCTGACTCTGCTTTCAGGGAGGCTGGGACACTGTCTCATTTCCTGCTGCCTTCATTCAGGAAAGACTTCCAGGCTTGGGATTTCAGCCAACATCCTTTCCCTCATTGCTGCTGCCTGAGTTTGGGTGGGCTCCTAGATGTGGGATGTTCAGCTGGCAACGTTTTGTTGGTTGTTTTCTTTTCCTCCCGCATCTCACATGGTTTCGATATGATGGCTTTGTTTTTCAGGACTTGCTTTTCTACTGCAAGTAAGCCAAGAAACTCAGGGATGAAAGGGGCTCCCAGGAGAGCCTGAGAGGTGGCCAGAATGAGGTGTGCATGTGCTGTGAAAAATGCAAGCAACGTCATTTTTTTTTCCTGTGTAGTTCTGGCCCAAGTCCTATTCATTGTTACATCAACAGAAGTCTCAGAAGACTCCTTGTATCTGACTCAATGTGCCACTCTGGTGGAGCAGCATTTTAAAGCATCAGCGTGGCAGCCTCGTTTATTTTAGATGAGGTTTTGGTCACCCTGTCACAGGCAGTGTTTGTGGATAGATGTCACACTTTTACCATTTCTTGCCTTGCCTAAATATAACGGTGACAGAGATGTTCCACCAATGCAGAAACTAAAGCATGTGTGCATGCTTACACTTTTTTAACTAATGCATCTGTGTTTACTGATGTCTTTTACTTTCACATTGTAGATCAAGATAGAGAAGGAGCTTAGCAGCCTCTACAAGAGAATGTTTGAACCTCTCCATGTGCCTCCAGAACTCTTCCAAAGACTAACTGGACAATTCTGCAACATTCAGACTTTAAAGACAGGTCAAACTTATGCTGCAGAAGATAAAACATCAGTTGATGACAGGCTGAGCATTCTGCTGAAGGGAAAGTAGGTTCAACAAAGCTTGGGGAGGGCCAGTCTTTGTATGATCATTGAATAGATTAGAAAGCTGTTGGGTTTTTTGTTAGCTTTTTAAACATTATTTTTTATAGCACTCTGTGGTTTGTAGCAGAATAATCTATAGGTACAGACTATTTTGTGACACTATTTTTGAATCACCGTGATGTCTCTTACTGGGAGCGTATTATGTCTCTACTTGCATGTGCAGATTTTACTTGGAATTATATTTGTATAGTGCCAAAGGCAGTGTCTTCCAGAACAAGCAAGAAATTTGTTTGAGCATTAGATATCCAAGTCGTATTCTCCGTACATTCTCAGATTTTAAGGTTAAAAAACATCGTGCATGAGGGAATTTAAAGTCCCTCTAGCAGACTTTAAAACAACAGTCGTGTTGGAAATGATTCATTGCACACATGTGTGCAAGCTGAGAAGGGCAGGTGCACGGCCCAGAAGCTGTGAGGACCCAGGTGAAAAAGGGTAAAATAAATGCCCATGGTCAGGCTGTAATCTTGAAGCTCTTGCTAAATTTTGGTCAATAGTTTAACCCGTTTCTGATGGTAGCAACAGTGATGTCAGGCTTCACAGTTTTTCTTAAGTCATTAGCTGCTCATTACTGCAATGCTAGTTCCCTAAAGGAAACCTGATTCTGGTCTGGCTGTACAGCATAACCCTGCACACCTTTTTCTTCTGAATAGTGATGTTTTGAGGCTACGCACCATGTTCGGCAGTTTGAATCGGCTGACAGCTTGTTCTGCCTGGAATCAGTAGAGGTTTAGGCAGAAAACAGGGTAGATCTGGGGCTGAAATTCTAGAAGATTAGCGTATTTTTGCCTGTTACCCACTTCTTTACAATTGACAACAATCGTATCCAAATTTAGATTAAAATTAATCAGTCTCCATGACTTTAAAATGCTGATTCATACATTTTTATTTCCAGAATGAAGGTGTCTTATCGAGGGCATTTTCTGCATAACATATACCCCTGTGCCTTTATAGATTCTCCTGAATTTCGATCAACTCAGATGAACCGGGGTGAGAAATTCCAGGTACACTTTGGTTTAAATGTCACTGGGAATGAACTGATGAGATAATTAAAAAATGGGATATAAGCTTGATCAACAGCGAACTACTAGACTTGCATAATTTTTCTAGCTTTCTAATACTGTTGTTTCGTGATGAACCATATAAGGAATACCTTTTAAAATGAAATGCTGCAAAACAGTGTTATGATGATGTTTGATGAGCAGTCTGGCTTTTGTTCTTCCCTTCTCTCCCTTCTCTCCCTTCTTCTCTCCCTTCTCTCCCTTCTTCTCTCCCTTCTCTCCCTTCTTCTCTCCCGTCTCTCCTGTCTCCCTCCCGTCTCTCCCGTCTCCCTCCCCTCCCCTCCCCCCCTCTCTTTTCCAAGTTTATCTTCTGTTAAGAGATTATTCAGGACAACCTGGGACAACCTGCTTTTTTGTTAGCTTTTTTAATGTTATTTCTTATAGTGCAGGGGAGTTGAACTAAATGATCTTTCAAGGTTACTTCCAACCCCTAACATTCTGTGATTCTGTGAAATAATTGAAGAGAGAGTTTTACTGAAAAAGAGATTATGTGAACAGTCATATCATGGTTCAAAAACAGAAGAAGAAAAATAATTATTGTAGTTGCTATTGTATTTGGTGTTGCTAGTATGAAAAATTGGAAAGTTCAGGCCCTAGTAGTTTGAACATTTATCTGTCATTTTGAAAGTTGTTGAAGCAACATAACCTGTAAGCTATTACAGTATGTTGAATAAAAATATTCGTATGGGGAACAGTAGGGCTATATGTCTCTAGCAGTGTAATTGTGCCAGTACATTAAAGGATATATTACACTGTAGGCTGTTGGTAAATAGTACTGTTGGGAAAGTTTTGTCCTCATAGTGCTGAAATGTCTATTTTGCTGTCTTCTGCCTGATGTTCCTTAAATGGGTGTGTGTAATGATGATGGGACTGTGCCTGGCTGGGTGGAGCCACACTGATACCCTGGCAGAAGGGGAGGGAGGGAGAGCAATATAGACTCTAAAATCAATGATTGATGTCATATGTCCCAGTCAAATACGAAGCTTAACGCTGAGGAGAGAGACTTGTCCAGGTGCACTCACTGTACGGCGGTGAGGCGTCTGCAGCACGGGCGCCCTCCCGGCAGCACGGTCGCCCCCCCGTCGCAGCCACTTTCTCTCCAAAGTGATAAGAGTTGGTCCCGCTGGAGGGAAGAGGGTCGCACCTTAACTTTCTGCCTGCCTTAAAAATCACTGTATTCTGGCGCAGCGTACATCCCTCATTCCTGGGACCCGCTCATAGGGCTGCCATTGCAAAAAACCACGAATTCAATCTTAAGGACCCCATCTGCTGGCGAATTCTTCCTCAGCCTGTGCTGCTGTTGCAGACCATGCAGTTAAAATCTGCGGATGTGTGACAGTTTCCCATCATTTCTTGGCTTTTACGTCCTTTTAATTTTTTCAGGAGGTAGCGCTAGTTTGTGATAGCGAAGAGCACCCGACTTCCCAAATGCCTGACTTTCCCTTGCGAAACACGCTGCTGGATATGGCCGAGGGGTGCAGGTTTCGGTGTGTCATTGCCCTCTGCTGGCACAGGGGCCGAACCTGGCGGGTCCTGCCTCCCTGGAGAGGGTGCGAGCTCCTCTGCCATTGTCGCTGGCAGAATTATCAGTATCTGAACAAAGGGAGCCCTGGCTCAGCTGCTAGAAGGTGGCACTTGTGGGATCAGCAGGGCTGACAATAAAGAGAGAAAGATGAAAATATTTTTTCCTAAGTCACTAAAGCTTCTTTGATGGAGACCTTTGGATTATACCAGTTGTTCCTGTTTGGTGGCAGCAATGCGAAGTAAAACCAAGTAACATGTAGGCTTTTTGGATACAAGTAGTGTCATCGCTATGGGACTGACCTGATGTGTAGATCTCCTCTAACATAAATGCTTTTACAGTCTGGAATTTAGGACAGATTTTCTGCTATTATCTCCCCCCAGGTTTTCTGGAAAACAACCTGGCCATGCTTATCAGTTAAAAATGTGATGATAATGTTTTACATTTGTGGATATTATGTTCTAAGGGATACCAAAAAGTTTTGTGACTTTAAGAGTTATTTTAACTGAAGGCACAAATGAAATGGTATCGCTTACTGTAAAGCAAAAGAGAAGTGCTAATTCTGAGCCTGTGTTTTCTCAGGTCACCATTATCGCAGACGATAACTGCAAGTTCCTCTGCTGGTCCAGGGAAAGGCTGACTTATTTTCTGGAATCTGAGCCATTTCTTTATGAGATCTTTAAATACCTTATTGGCAAAGATATTACAAATAAACTCTATTCATTGAATGACCCGACCTTAAATGACAAGGTAAGCAACTGAAGTTTCATTTGGGAATTTTCCTCCCACACACAAATGTATTGTTACATCAACTTTCAATCATCTTAAAGCACTTTTTATTTAACCTGCTTCTGTCAGCTACTGAATTCACACTCACTGCCTTTTAGTGCCAAAGTCTGAGTCAGTGCAACGTTTTTGTTGGACACAATGTAAGTTAAAAGTTAGCACAGTAATGTGTAAGAAAGGTGAATAACTGAGGTTCAGAACTGATCAACTAGCACAAATATTTCTAGCCAACTAGTAGATGTGGTGGCTGGTAGCTAAAGAGGTGCTTCTCCCTCGATATTCTCTCTCATTAACAAATGGTTGCCTTTGCACAAAGAGGCTTCAGCGTTTTTCTTAAAGAATTTGCTTGCTGGGTCAAACACCTGGGTAATACTGCTTGCCAAGGAGATTAATTTCAACGTGTGTTTGAGGGTTGCAAACACAGAAAAAAAATTGAGGAACGGTAGTTTGACATGGTGTAGTTAGTGGAAGGAGGCAGGAAATATGTATAAAGTATTCAGTGATCTGAATATAATTTACTCTTCTTTGCCTATAGAAGGAGTGTGTTTGAGGTGTCAAAGTAAGTGGTCTCGATGTAGTCATGGATATACCGATTATCTTGTTTTACTTGCTTTTTGTCTTCTTACTTAATTACATGTCTTTTCAAGATTTGGACAGTAACTTGGCTGCTGGTGGTTATTTTTGTTATTTTTGTTATTTATGTAGTGGCTGTAGGGTTCTCATAATTTATTTGAAGAACTTTCACTATCATTTATGAAAAGCTTTATAATTTTATAATATAGTATTTTCATATTCTGTCTATTTATTTATCTCACACTAACTCAGAGCACAAATCCTGCTCATCAGATGACTCATCAATATTTCTCATACAGGTTAAATAGTTACTTCCGCAAAGTTGTGAATTGAGTAGAAAATGACGCAAAGGAATGACTGCCATTGGTGCTATAGAATAGTCTTTGACAGGCTAATTAGACATTTTAAGTTTTGTCAGTTTGGTACTGGCTGTGGAAGGAGAAAAGAAAGAATTGCTTGAGAAACATTTGAACAGTAATAAAGCATTGATTATTCTGTTTTCTGGTCAATGAAATACTGTCTTGCAATCAGATCCTCAAAACCATTTTGAATGACTGTTTTCGTCTTACTAATGCAGTAAGATAAACATTACCTAGCATGAATGCACTACCTATAAAACACATCTTACAAAGTATGTGGGTAAAGCTGGAAATGATCCGTATTAAACCCCACATCTACATAGACAGTAAGTCATTTCTAGAGTACGCCATTGGGAAGGACTGTGTAGAGATGTGCCTTCTGTGTGTGCATTCACACTGCCCCTCCTGGGAAACTCCTGTTCTCCACAGCCCTCTTCACTTTGCCTTTTTTTTTTTCTCTTCTTTTTCCCTCTTTATCTTTCTTATTGTTGTTCTTTTCCCTTTTTTCCCCCTCTCGTTTCTACTTTCTATTTTATCTTCCTCTCTTCTCTTTCCTTGCCTCATTTTCTTTTTTTACACGTGGCTGACAGCATTACAGTGTCATAGCTGCTATATAAAGTCATCTGTAACAAACCTGTGCTGCTGATTTCTGGCACTGTAGAGCTTCAGCATTAGTATAAATAGTTCTTGAAATTGAAGTATAATGAAGAACTCATTGCGGTTTTTTAAGTGCAAGTCCTTACCATACCTTCTAGGTATTAAAAACACTCCAAACTTTGCCCCTCCTTTGACATCCGCACCCTTTGACTTCAGTTTGTCTTTATTTTTAGTGACAACAGTCACATGAATTTAAGGTTATTGTAACTGTTTTATCACAGTAACTTCTGAAAATGTATGTTGTCAAAATGGAGAGTGAGCATTTGGGAAATTTGTAGTACCTTTTTATTCTTCCTCAAATGAAAATCCGGTTGCACAAGCCCTTCCTACATACCATAGAACAAGAACCGTCAAGTAAATTCTTCATTCCCCTGCTGCCAGCACGCTGTGCATATATCAATTCTCACAGGCTTCATTGTCCGATATACGTATTACTGGTGTCTTTAATGCTTTTTAACTGGTCACAATCTCAACAGAAAATTTTGTAGTTGACTTCTGAACACAGGGAACATACAAGAGAACAACTAAACCAAATTCAGTATAGATTATACATAATCGAGATGGTAGTAGAAAAGATAAGAATATCAATTCATTGGATGTTGGAGAATGGAAGAGTATCCATTTATTTTTAAGGAACCTTGTAATATGCTCCTACCTGAGGACATTTTCACTACTGTTGGCAAAATAGTCATTCCTCTCCCCATGAAGCGGGAAGCTAATTCCTGACGTTTGAAGTTCAGTAAAGTGGAGTTATCCATTATGCTTTTGTCATTGATTACTACCTTTCACATATACCTAAAATAGCATTATGACTTGTGGTAATATTTAACAAGGTACAATGTATGGTTTCATATAAATATTATAGTACAGCCTTCTCAGGAAGACTGCTCAGAGCAAATGGAAGCTCCTAAGACCATTTGGCAGGCAAAGGATAATGTTAATGTGATGCATTTAATCTGTCTTTGGTAAAATCAAGGGCCAAATGATCATCTGCTAGGAAGAAATGACAGTCACTGTTTTCTAACATGATGAAATGAAAAATCAGGAAAGTGAACAAGTTTCTTTTAAGATATAAATTGTTAAACACTCTATATAGCATATTGTCTGGTTTAGCAAGAAGGACCGTGCTCCTCATAAAGGCTATTATTAATTGCAGAGCATCACGCCTGAATAATGAATTGCCAAATAATAAAAATCAGCCTTTCTGTAGGAAAATATATGAGAAGTCCAGTGCAAAAACGGAATTCAGATTGAATAATTAATCTGAGGTTTCATGCTTGCCAGTGTTCTAATTACAATATATTACTGGCACCTTCCCTTTTCATTTAAATCAATTTACACTGCATAGAATCTTCTGCTCTAACAGGTGGTTTTCTTGTTTCATGAATAATCATAGCTGAGACCAGAGCGTCTGCTACAGAGGAAACAGTTATTTTTCATATTTATTTTAGTTTACTTGATACCTTTTTAAAAGTAATAATTTTAATTATTTTTTTTAGGCTTCGAAAAAGATCGATCGACAGCCTAGTCTCTGCTCACAGCTCTCTGTGATGCAGATGAGAAACAGCATGGCCAGTACCAGTGACAGTGAGGATGGCTTGCAGATGTTTCTTCGTGGGACTTCCTCTGCATCCTCTCTTCGTGAGTGCCCAAAGTAGTTCATGCCAGTTTTGATCACAACTTGGTTGACCATAAGAGACGAGACGATTGGAGATCTCCTGTGGTCTTCAGTGGTAGCAGACTGTAGTTTTTTGGATGCTGCTGTACATCGGCTAAGTGGAGGGACCCAACTGTAGTGAATTCCTATGATGCATAAGGCTTTGTATACTAACTGAAGCTACCTCATGTAGATACTAGCAAAAAGCCAGCATGTGTTGTAATAATTTTTGGCATAATGTGAATGTGTAGGCATTATATGTTTATGTGTAGTTTATCATATGCTATAGAAACGTTTATAGCAACGGGGCAAAACTGTGATTGTACAGCGCCTGTCACAGTAGTGTCTCCTTTGGTCTGAGACTGCCGCTTGTAGAAGTTAAAAACTCAAACAGAACTTTTGCCTCAGCAACTTCGTGCTCTGCTTTTCCTTCTGAGATGGGTTGTATTGGCAGAGTCTGGAGGAATCTGGTGTACAAGCAGTATTTTCATGTCATCTGGAGAAGTCTCCAAATAACGTGTCAGGCTCTCTACTCCTGTGCTTTGTATGTCAGGAGTAGTAGAGAACAGGTGAAGTGAGAGGAAAAAAAATTCTGACCTTTTTGCCTCTACTCTTTGAGTTTATTCCTCTATAGAAACCTTCTAAATGATTCTTCCTAGGCTTCTGCTGTTGTTCATTTTTAATTTCCCTGAATCTAAACTTCAACAGTAGCCTGAGCATCTTTTGAACTGAAAAAACCCAAAGATGCTCAGTTTTCTCATTTGGCATAAGCTGTTAGTTTAATGGAATTTTAAAGGATCATATAAGATGGATTATTTTGACTTGGGAAATATTGTTTTTTAATAAATAGAATTAAAATATATGAGTGAAAAAATTTACTGACATTTATTATGGTTAAACTCTCTGCTAAGAAGTGTTTTTTGCACTTTCCCTTTTAATTATCTGTTCTCCATTGTGTTCCTCATAGTCCTCATCCAGGAACTCCCTCAGACTTGGGGGCCTATCTGTTTTCAGTCCTTAACATTGATACAGTCTGCATGCCCAGACTAGGTAGAAGCAAAAGCCCTGCTAGTGTTTCACCCTGCTAGAATGTCGAGGGTGACACCTGGCATACAGTTTGATGAAAATTCCAATGACATTTTCTTTATTTCTTGTCTATTCCCTGAAAGGATGTTTAGAATCACAGAAAAGTTGAGGTTGGAAGGAGCCTCTGGAGATTGTCTAGTCCAACCATATGTACAAAGCAGGGTCAGCTAGAGCCAGTTGTTCAAGGCCATATCCAGTCAAGCTTTGAATATTTCTAAGCTGGAAGATTTCACAGCTTCTCTGGGCGACCTGTTCCAAGTCCTTACCACCCTCATGGTGAAAAAAATTGCCCTTACTTCAACTCATGGCTGTTGTCCTTTGTTCTTTAGTGCATGCTACCGAGAAAAGTCTGGCTCAGTCTTCTTTACACCCTTCCATTAGGTAGCCAAAGACAACAGTAAGATCCCCTCTGAGCCTTCTGTTCACGAGGCTGAACACACTCCGTTCGTGCAGCCTCTCCGTGTACGTCACGTGCTTCAGCCTCTGACCATCTTGGCTGCTCTCCACTGCACTCACTTCAGTACGTCCATGTCTTTTGTGTAAGGGGAAACCCAAAACTGGGCACAGCACTCTGGATCCTGTCTCACAAGTGCCAAATAGAGGGGATTAGTCTCTTCCATTGACCTGCTGGCTACGCTTTTGCTAATATGGCCCAATATATGCTGCTAATATGGCCCAATATGCCTTCTTCACTGCAGGGGCTCTCTGCTGACTTCCATTTTGTGTCCACCAGGACTTCCAGGTCTGCTTCTGCAAAGCTGCTTTCCAACCAGATGTTGCCCAGGCTGTACTGCTGTGTAGGTTTGTTGTGTCCCAGGTGCTGGAATTTGCCTTTGCTGAACTTCATGTGGTTTCTGTCAGTTCTTTTCTCCAGCCTCTGAACCTCCATTCTGAGTAGCTGCCCTACCCTCTGGCCTATCAACAGTTTCCCTCACTACTTAGCAATTATCTGTGAACTTGGCAGGAGTGCACTCCATCCCATCACCCAGGTCATTAATATATTGAACATTATAGGCCTTAGTATTTGCCCTTAAGTGACTTGAGGATTCTATGGCAGGCTGTGGAGAGCTGTGCTATGGTCCAGGTAAACAACATCCACTGCAGTGTATTCACAGAGCCTGTCATCACACCACAGGAGGTGGTCAGACTGGTCAGGCATGATCTGCTCATGCTGGCTGTTCCCAGTCACCTTCCTCTCCTTCATGTCTTGGGCATGGCTTCCAGGAAGACAGGGTCCATAACTGAGGTTAAGCTGATAGGCCAGTAGGTCCCTTGATCCTCCTCCTTGCCCTTCTTGAAAATTACCATGACATTGGCCTTTTTGCTCTGCCCTGACTGGCCTTGACCTTTCCAAGATGATAGACAGGGGTCTTGCAATTGCATCAGCCAACTGTCAGCACCCGTGGGTGCAGCCCATGTGATTCCACAGTCTTGTGTTTGCCCTGTTTGCTTAGGTGCTCCCTAACTCAATCGAGCTTTCCTGTAAGTCAGTATCACTCTCCCAGTCTCTACCATGAGGCTCAGAGACCTGGGAGGCCTCAGAACAAACTAGCAATGAAAACTGAAGCAAAAAAAGGTGTTGGGAGTCTTAGCCTTTTCCATGTCCCTAAGTCCCATGCCCCTCTGAGCCAATGTCTTTGCAGAAGTCCTTCTTGTTGCCCTTCACTAGATCCAGGGCCAGCTGAGCTTTGACTTTCCTAATTCCACCACTGCATGCTTGGGCCATGTTTCTGTATTCCTCCCAAGCAGTTCATCCCTGCTTTCACTTCATGTGTTTGTGTTTGAGTTCTACCAGGACTTTTTTTGTTCATCTCTGCCAGCCTTCTACCATGCTTGCTCAACTTTCTGTACACTGGAACGAACTGTCCTTGTGTTTCAGGAAAGGTGTCCTTGAAGATCAGCCATCTGTGCTTGGGTCCCTTTGCCCTTCCAGGCCATGTCCTGCCAAGTAGAACCCTGAGCAAGCCCCAGTCCCCTGTTCTCAGGTCTAATGTTGTAACCCTACTATTTGTCTTGCACACTTCTCAGTATTTTAAACTCCACCAGCTCCTGGACACTGCAGCCAAAGTTACCATCAGCCTTCACCTCCCTGATAAAGTTCTTCCTTGTTTGTCAGTGACAGGTCCACCAGAGCACCTTCCCTAGTTGGTTCATCGATCACTTGTGTGAAGAAATTGTCTGCTACTCTCTCCAGAAATCTCCTGGACTGCTTGTTCCCAGCCCTGTTGCCATTCCATCACGTTCTGGGGTGGTTAAAGTTCCCCACAAGTACCAAGGCCTGCAACCGTGAGGCTTCATCCAGTTGTCTAAAGAAGGCTTCCATCTACTTGCTCTTCTTGGTCAGGCAGCCTGTAGCAGATACCTGCCACGAAGTCTCCTGTATTGGTCTGTTCTCTGATCTTTACCTGTAAGCTGTTTAATCTGTTCCACAGCAAAACTCCATGAAATGGAAGCCACTCCTTTGCACAGAGAGCCCTTGGACAAATTTGTTCACCCAGAAGCCTGAAAGACATTGTAAAACTATGTTTGTGCAATTAGCTAGAATTAAATTTCTCTTTCAGGCTTAGCAGCAAAACACACCAGTATTTCAGCTTTGGGAGAAAGTAATCTAAATGCATGACGTGTTCAGCTGTAATTATATTAATCCCTAGAGGCATCCGTGCTTAGCACATACTTCATAAATACACTTTTTCCCTGTTGTACTTTTCCCTGGTTTGTGTACCATATTTTCCGGTGTTATGGGGTGAACTTTCCCCAAAAGAGGGGTTTAAATGCCTTTTATGTTCTGGAATTGCATGGTCTAACAGCAGTTGGTGTAGCTGATGCTCCCACTGCCACTTCCCCACTGGCAGCAGCAAGTGTGGCAGCAGCCTCCCAAATCCAATACTTCCCATACTTTTGGGGAGGCGGAGATGTTACCCACGCGGCAGAGTTATCATACACCTGGGGAAATACTGTCATTTATTACTTCTTTACATTTCGGTTAATGTGAAATTTCTGACTTCTGTAAAAGGTTGACAAAATTTTTGATGGAAGGTGATACAACTCACTAAACTGAAATGCTTCAATCTTTCTTTTTGCCAAGATAGCTTGTTAGTTTTTCCTGGGTACTGTCATTGCCAATGATGCGTTTTCTACCAAGGTGAGCTCTGCTTCAAGATTTGTATTCCATGTGGGTTGGGGCCATATATGCAGTTTTTCTTGGATCACAGGGCAAACTGAACAAAAAAGCTGCCGTTTACCTTACCACTGTTGTGTTCCCACAAACCTTCTTTTGGGTACTGTCAGTGCAGCAGTCAGTCTTGTTGGATTTTTTTTGTCTTTTTTTTAAGATTCAGTGTGAGGTACATGCTGAGGCTTGCTGTCCCAGTGCTCTTCCCTGGATCTTCCCTCTGCAGTCATACATTTCTTTATTTAAAACCAAACAAAGCCCAGAAACGCCCAGAAGATTTAGTAGGAAACATATGGAAATGACAAACTTGTTTTTGGTTTGGTTTTTTTTTTTAGTAGTAGAAGAAATTAATATGAGAAACTTATCTTTCATGAGCTCTACAGGACTACTGTCTTGTCCTTGCTATGTGATGGATTGTTGTGTGGATGAAAGCTTCCCATTAGAAATATGATATTTGACTACTACAATACAAATTAGTTTAATTCCTCTGATTTCCATAATGAAGAAAAATTGAGCATTTACATTTTTGTATATTCCAAACTTTTTAAATTATACTTTTATCTGTGCTAAAAACGATAAGCTTTGGCTCATTTTCTCAATAAACTGATATAAAGCTTTTTTCAAAGTGTTTATTAGTGAAAGGGTGAAAAATACTAATCAGTTTGTCCCAAACTACAATTACTAACAAAACTGTGTTTGAATTTAATTAACTAAGAAACCAAACTAACTGTTTGCTTTTATATTAAGGAAATAACCACCAAGAGTTCTATAATGCTTACGGAGTGAGTCGTTTGCAGCATGATGTTTTCTGTTGATAACATCACATTAACTCAGCAAGCATCCTCAAAAAGGTATTAAAGTGGGATTTGTCTGTCACGTGATACTTGTGCTTGACATCCATGATCCATCTGTATGTAATTTATTAGTAAATGGAATTGATGTATCTCTTTTTCCAAAATTTGAGTTAGGCAGAAATAGTTCAACCTGATCACAAGGGTAGCTTCACTTAACTTCCAGTGCTTTAGAAAGCATTTTGATATTAGTTTCTATTCAATAATTCTGGGTTTTGATAGTAATTCATATACTTATTTGTGATACTGTCTCTTTTTTTTCATGCTGCTTGGTTTAGATTGCTCACTTTTGCTGGTCTATGAATCGTATTTGCAAACCTCTAAGTCAAGCAGAGATGTAGAAAAGGTTCGATTTGGTAATCTTTTTCTTGGTATTACCTTGCTATGTGTGCTCCCTATATTATACCCAGCTTGTGGTTAAAAGTAGGATTGAGTTTAATGGGAAATGACATTTTGATACATATTTAGGCATAGATCCTTGAGAGAGCACAACAGAATAATGTATGGAAGACCGGAGTTCAGGGTCAGACTCAATCTCTTGAACCAACACTGGATCGAGGCATCAATAGTCATGAGGTTTGTCTTTGGAGAACCTGAGGGCGCATCTTGGAACCAAATGACTGGACAGCATTAGGCCCAATATTGGATCCTGTTCAACAGACTTGTAACTTCTTACTTCTGATTTCTGGAGAGAACTAAGCACTTTTAAACAAAAGAGAACCAGTCTAAAAATGGTAATGAACTAGTAATAAAGTAATAAGAAGTAAGTGCTTAACAATTCCAATATTTAAAAATGTGTGCGAATAACCCTTTATTGTGTTAGGTTTTGAGTGTTAAAAGAAATTACTAATGCATTTTTAACAAAAAAAGTTCTAAAAACGTAATTCTGAATACTGCTTGTGTGAATGTGACTTAAAAATGCAGTAATATGATAACCTGCTTTTGCCCATAGCAAGTATTCTCTGTGTGTAACATATACAGCATAAAGGAGTTCTTCTTCATAAACAGGCAAAGCACTCTACTGTATATCTAATAAATTTTTTGAAGTAGTAATAGCAGTGGCAATTATGTTATGACTATCAGTATTTTTTTTCAAGAAAATTTGAATTTTTAGCTTTGCATCCAGATGATCTGTCAGACAGGACTGCTACCTTTTGCTCTTTTCTTCTGAAATGGTATTTCAAAGATTTCCCTAATCTTTTTGGACATCATATGCTAGCTGCTTTTACAGTCTTCTACAGTTGTGGTGGTTTAACTCTAGAAGAGGGTATCAAGAGGAAAGAAATGTCCAAGTGCAGAAGCTATTTCAGAGCAAACAATGGGAAATGAACCTGTTTGGCTGATGTCAAACAAGCTCTTTAGTTTAACCCTCATGCTGAAAACTTAACTATAATAGAGGTAATTTGCAATGGTAACTTGCTCAAAAACTCCATTTAATGTCTTACCAGAAATGGCTCCACTCTGGCAAGCTTTATGAGTTGCTACTTTTCTAAAAGACTTTCTTAGAGCGATGAAGTCACTGTCGGTCAAAAGTTACGCAGCCTTCACCTGTAATCTTGTTTTCTTTATGGTTGTTTGTGGGGGTATTATATTTTCTATACATTTCACATTATTGTGCTTTTAAGGCAGTTAGGGCTGTGATCGGGTACCCACCTGGGGGTTGCCCAGTACACTCAGGAATTTTTTTCGTAGCTCAGTCAAGCATGAAAATGCCCCTACCTTTTGTACTTAAGGTGGCTGTTCCTGTCATCCTTCATGGAAGAGAATTAGTGGGCAAGTGTAAAGGTGAGGAAAATGGTCAGCAGGGACACAGCATCGGGCACGCCACGCGGTTGGGATTATTTGCACTGAATTTAGGGAGAATACCATGCCCATGGCCAGCTGCAGGGTTGGAACCTCAGAGGCGTTGCTGGTTCACAAAAGCGTGGCTGTCCCATGTCTAGAATGTCCTGGTGGCCAAATAATGAACGAGCCTTCATTTATAAAATCCTCTCACGAGGGAGCTGGGACAGGATTGTGAGATCGTGTACGCTTTGTCACAAAGAGGTGTAGGTAGCAGGTACGCATTGTTAAGTTAATTGGTAATTTCTTTGTAACCATGGCAGGCCCAGGCCGGACATCTCCCTACCTGAGAACTTCGGCAAAAATGAAGCCAATAGAAGAAAGTGTTGAAGATGACGTCTTTGAAGCACCATCTGCTGATAAGCTTGAACTCCAGCGGCTGCCTTAAAACAGATGTGTCCTCGCACGTACCAGAGCTTGCACAGAGCTCCAGTGCAAGAGGAAGAAGCTCAATCTGGGAGGAATCTGAAAGCTGAACCCACATCTCTGTATTTGAATTTACCACAGCATGTGTCAGTGGCTTCTAGATGGAAACGTCACATTTTATTTTACTTCTAAGTAAAATAAAATAAAATTTAAAAATGCATGGGGTTTGTTTTTGTTTTCTGAACATGGGTGGTTGCTGTATTTCTATTTTGACTCTTGCCATCATAAATTTAGTATTAAGAGTCTCACTAGCCTGAAACCTCTAAAGACTAGAAATATCCCCAGTTCATTTCCATAAGTTTCTTTCAGGGCTATATCTTGGTGGTTTTCAATTGGAGATTTTGAAACTGTTTCCAAAGCCATATTGCTGTTGCCTATCATCGTTGTGAGAGTCCCATATGAAATAGTACACACACTCTTCTGCACATTTTGGTAGGTATTTGCCTGTAATTCTGGCATTTCCCAACCCGACTTCTTGACTCTACAATTGTAATAATGACTTAAATATTAATTTTTCTTGGCCATATATTTAAATTTAATATTGCCTTTCCAACTTTTTTTTCTTTAGGTAACTGTATTACACTGAAGTCTGTGTTTTTCCTTAATCTTATCCATGGAGTGACTGAGCTGTTCTGGATTAACCACACAGCGATATGTGAGGTACAAATGGCAACTGGACATAGGAAATTCAGTTTAAAACTCAAAAAAGGGTAGCTGCAATTGCAGTAAAACAATCTTTCTAAGAGGCACTTGTAGGAGTCTGTAGTGTGTGGAGAAAAATAGATGTAGCTGTGCTTCTATCCTTTGACAGTCCTTGAAACTTCTTATTCAACAAATAGTGTATTTTAGCGAAATGTCACAGAAAATAGCTATTAGTCCATTTCTTGAATGCACAACACTCTGCTACATACAATAACAGAGTTTTAGTGTAAATTCTCAAGCAATCAGAGGTGTCACAGTCTAGATTTTGCTGCTTTTTGTCATTTCATTTTAATTCTAAAATTTATCCTGACAGAACATACTTGCATCTCAGTTATATAACCCACTTATTCCCTCCTCAAAAGCTCATGCCATATCAAACCACACAGTTAAATGATTGGAATTTTGACCTGTGTGGTCAGCGTTCCTGTTTATGTGAACTTAAATCCAATGTTGAGTATTGCATTGGTATATCTTGTGGTTCAGTAGGTTTTGCATTATTAAAAATGTCACACTGAAGTGAGACATACTTAGTAATTTGTGTAAATATATGTAAAATATATTTAGGCCACACATGCAAAAAACCAGCACATTGGCTTCTCCTGGAGTTGATGTAGTTTGCCATCTAAATCTGATTTAATGCTATGAAAGTCTTCATAGGTAGAGAATAGGAAATTGTCTTGCAGCTGTTGGAACAGCTAACTCCACGGATTTGATAAACCAAAATTCAGCGACTAAAACATAACTTCATATTTCAAATTATGCCACATTTAAAATCATACTGCATTTTTAGTAGCTGTCAGATACTAGGAACTAAACAGATTAGACCATGAACAAAAATACAGCAGACAATAAGAAAACTGAATATATGAGAAAAATAGGAAACATTTTCCATGCAATGAAATGCATACTAAAGGAGAAATATGTATTCTCATAACTCCTAGTGACTGCTAAGTGTAAAGTGAACTTATTTGAGTTTTTGGATGTCCTGTTTCTTTTCTTAAAAAGAAGAATATTTGCAGAAGATTTCAATAAGGTAAGTTATAGAAATATAGACTTACTCAGGTTGAGACCTCTGCAAGTCATCTGGTCTAGCCTCCTAAATCAGGGTCAACTTCCAAATGAGTGGAAATATTGTAAAGATGGAGATGAAAATATTAACAAGGGCTGCTGCGGGAAGATGGTGATGTGTGAAGATCTTACATCAAAAATGCTCATCTTCCTTTTGGATTTCAACACAGCCAAACTTTGTAAACAAAACAATTCTGTATATTTTTGCAGGTTTTATGAAAGCTGTTCCAAGTCGTTTATTGTGCAGCTGTGTGAGTAACACGATGGTGAGAGACTCGCAGATCAGTGGGTACAGGCTTCCTTGCTCCCGACATCAGTTTCAAGCTCAGCATAAGAAGTGACATTTTACTCCCATTCCAGAAAATAAAATGAGCCCTGTGGATTAAACATGAGTCAAAAGAAGGATGCTGACGTGTGATTTTTTTGTAGTTAGGACTAAAAAAAAAAAAACCAGATAATTCTCATAGACTTATTTGACATAGACTCATTAGGCTGGATTAGATGATCTCTAAGGTCCCTTCCAGCCGAGGCCATTCTATGATTCTATGATTTGACCACACTGAAAATATGCAAACCCCATCTCCTCCTCCCTGGCATTCCAAACAAAAGATCTTTTACTCGTAGGGAGCAAGTGCATCATTGGTTCAATGTCTCAAGGACAGGGGCCTTATCTCTGAGGTTGCCTCTTGGCTACTAGGAGAGTAAGAGAGGAATTGGGAATTATTTTACTTGTGAGGTGATACGGGGAGCCGTATCCTTGTCCCGATGTAATTTCCCCAAACTTCTGCCAGTTTTCAAACTCCTTTAAAGGGGAAGAACAAGCTGGAGGAATAGACCTCACACAGCTTAGCAATAACCTAGAATACCTAGAGTTACTAAAGTATAAATAGCAATTTCCTTTTTTCTTCCCTCTCCAGCAGAATAATTTCTTGTGTGTTGTTATCAATGGAATCAATATTCATGCCTGGAGAGATTGCGTTTCCTGAACGGAACCTGTCTGATCTCTGCGTACCTGTTGTGTATGCCAGCCTTGGGACCATGAACTTGTCCCCTGTCTGGGAACAAGAACCAAGACATCTTTACCCCTGCAAAGCATCACACATGCTAGGGATACTACAGCAATAACACTGCAAATAGTGATAAATGTGTTAGTCTACTAGAAGCAATGCATTTTATTACCTAAGAATACATAACTGGAAATTTAAAAATTCCTTATGAGTGGGTAAAATCAATTGCAAAATAACTGTACTGTATAAACACAACTTGCCAAGTCTGTCTACCTCTGTTCCTGTTGTTTCAAACAGAGCTGTTTGTGAGACAACAGAAATTAAAAAAATGTAGCCTGCTTTTCTGTATTTAGTGAGGCATCCCTTTGCATTGCTGTTGCAGAAGGTAAGGAAAAGCATCCTGTAGTAACTCAGATTTAAAGGAGTGTTTGTGTGCATGGGTAGAGGGTGGTCTGTAAACTTCTTGTTAGTTCATTTCCAAGTGTGATTGGTAAATCAAACATGAAACAATATGTATTTTAAAATCAAAACATCATGTTATGTTGGTCACAACTGTAACTGCACAGCAGATGTGAATTGTACTAGCAAATAGTTCTTTTTACTAACCAGAATGCCTGTGGGGAAAAAAGGAAGATACTTCAGCAAAATGCATTTTTTACTTTTTTTTTTTTCAAGAATTGTGATTTCAGTGCATTTATATCAGCATAGGAAATGCATATTGAGTGCCACATTTTTCAGGGAGACTGAACTAAAAGGTGTCAGTGAGCTCTGTCATGAATTGCCTTAGAGATCTCTTTGAGTCTCTGTCCCACTCTCACAGCAAAGCACCATTCATCTTGCTCTTAAATCGTGTGGAATCAACTTCTCATGGAGCTGACCCAACGTCTCTGCAGCTGTAACTCACAGGCACAGGAGCTTGCGTATTCCTACCCCAGGAGGTAAATCTGCTTCGAAAAAAATGTTAAAAGCTTGGGAAAAAAATCATTTGGGCATTCAGAGAGGATTCAGAAAATCAGCTGTAGCCCAGTGCTCAGGAAGACAAGTATGTAAAAAATGCTCCAGTTGTGGAACTGGTGAACCTCTACACCTTGATTAATGTTAAGAAAGGTGCTAGTCACTATCCACATCACAATTCTACAGCCTGAAAACCAGCTCTCACATTCTAATCTATGATGGATATTAGCAGTAAATAGCAAGCTTAGAAACGGTCAATTCAATAACCAAAACTATTTCAATGATATGAATGCAGTTTAGATAACACTGTTTTTTGAATGGTCATTTTATAAATAAGCCCAGTGTATTTAAAAAAAAAAAAAGTTGAACCAGTTTGCAAATATTAAATGCTTAATTTTTTTCCTGTACTCTTTTCCTTTAAGAAGTGCAGCTGAATTATAATCTTACAGAAAATCGTCTACTTTATTTGATATATGCATTAGAAAGCAAACCAAAGATCTAACAAAAAGGCCGATTCAGTAAAAAATGAAAGAGTAGCAGTGCTGATGTAGTTAAAAGGCAAGAGCTCAGTTCTTCAGTGAATTTTTGGCATCTAGGTAGAGTCTATTGCTAGAGACTCGGAAAGTATCTTCACATGCAGAAGGCGGGAATTTCTTGAGCAACATTGTTCATGATAAGCTGTCATAGATACATTCACAAATCATTTGGATGAAGTTTGGGGAAGTGAAATTGTAGCAACACATTTTAACCATATTACTGGTATTACAGGAACAGTTACTTTAATTATTGTTTCAGAAATGCAGTCATAGGAAGTGCCTCGAAGTAAAATGTTTTTCCATCTCTCATGCCATATTCATCACAGCTGCTTCTGATTAAAGGGGGAATGGGTTCTCAGGACTTAAGGGATTAATAAGAGAAGACAAACCATCTTAACTAATTAGCACTGACATTTAAACTTCCTGAGAGCATGATGATAATAATATGAGAGTCATTAGAGAGTGCAGAGAGCCAATACAAAAGCAAAACTTACAGGATCTCTTTGTATTGATTGCAGTACTGTCTCTATATTTTTTTTTTTAATTAATTTAAGCCGCTGTGGGGTGGCTTGACAATGTGACAAAAGTTGATGGGTTCTTGTTGGGCCATTTAATGGAACAAACTGCATTTCAGTTGACAAAGTTATTATTGCTACAGGTAGAATAAAGCATTTTTAGTGAGCTTAAGCATTAGCTGAATTTTAGATCCCAGGAATATTTACTTAGCACTTAATGAACATAAAATAAGTTAAAAATCTAAGGAAGTTACAGCCATGCCACGCTTGTGTATTTGCAAGTCCCTTTAGAAGCCTAAGAGCTTTCTTTCCCAGAAACCTGTCTAAGACCCCAAAATCAGAGCTTGAGTAGAAATTGCACAGGAGTGGATATA